AAAAAATCTCTCACATTTTCACTTCAGTGCAGTATGTTAACTATGAACAAAATGATAGCGTGTGTCAGTCAAATGTAAAGTATTATTTATATTGACATTAAAACCTGATTATTAATGCAGAAGCTCATGGAAAGTCACATTAATCTGAACAACATATTATTTCCTTTTAGTCCATGGTCTGTCATTTTGCAAACCATGGTTAATAGGATGCCAAAGATAAAAAGATCTGTTTAAATAAAAATGTATAATATATTCTGCATCTCATTTATATCTTACTGTGTTAAAAGGTAGGTTAATATCTGCTAGTCTGTGAACGTAATATGAAGGAGATGATATTCTTTGTTTTAAAAACCTTAGGTATTCCTTTTAAACACTGAATTTTCAAAGGCTTGCTATTACTTAAAATATTAGTTCCTATTTTATTGACTTATTAGATGTAAAGGCTCTAAATTAACCTTTAATTAAAAGATTCAAAAGGAATAACTGAAAAAGGTGATCTACATATTTTAAAAATCCCAATTTCTATTCCCATTCTCTTGGTTCTTGAAAAATAAAAAGTAGAACTATTGTTTGCTTGTCCTAGAGTAACAGATGGCAGCTGCCTCGATGATTCTAAAGCTGGGGATGGAAACCGAGTTTCTCGTCAAGAAGAAGGGGAGTGGCACGGCAGCTTCCACGTGTCAAAACCTCTGGTTCAGGAGCCTCCTGCTTTCTCCGAGTGTTTGACGTCCGCTTTCATTTCACTTCCTGAGGACGCTGCCCTTTCCACGTAGAATCAAGAAGCTGGACACCAAGCTGATTGTCCCTCCTCTACTTGCGTGCCCCTTCTGCCCAGAGTTTCACTGGATCCAGGCTGACAACAGTAAACTTAACAGAGTCCGGGAGGAAGGCAGGGGGAGGTTACAGCATAGCATATACAGCAACCAGCTGGAGTCTCTTTATCAGCCATCTCTCTCTCAGAGCATCTTAGCATTCCAACCACTGGGGAATTTTCACCCTTTCTCACCTCCCCTCTGCTCCAGCTTCTGGCCACAGTGCTGGCCAGCTTTATCTCCTCTGGCCTCCCCCATCTCCTTCCTGATAAGGTTACCCTCCTGCTCTAAGGCCCTGCTTGCTTCTTTCACAGAAGAGAACTGGGCTCTTTGTCTAGCTCCAGCTCATAAAGGCATTGCTGGGCTGGGGTCACGGGATGCGAAGCACACCCTTCAAGGCGCACTCCTGTTCAGCACAGCGTTCTCCCAGACAGGAATTCTGTAGCCATCAGCTTTTGCGTCCTTTCCCTCCATTAGGTAGTAGTTTAGGAATTAAGGACTTAGAATTTGACTGTGACATGAAAGGGAGCAGTGGATAAATTGTCAAAATGGACAAATTGTCAAAATGAAAACCTATAACAAGATCCATCCATCTTCTATTGTAAATAAAAGAAACTGAGGCCTAGGAAACTTACTGTAGGTTACACAGCACTTCCGAGTGGAAGTTGGATACAATAGTCCGGTCGAAGGCTATTTCCATGACCTCATGAAACACCTCAGTTTCTCAACAGCATTTCAACTCTGTATATTTAATTCTTTACTATGTTGCCAGCATAGGCCCCACAGGAAAGAATACAGTATATAGCGGGAGAGGCACATAGTCACTGCGCACCTAAATCATATTATCTCAGATACTCCGGCATGTTCACTATTCATTTTTTAGTTCTCATGTATAATTAATTCTCTCATGTCTAGGCATGATGTTGATGTTATAGAGGGCAGTTTTCATGTTTTTACAAAATCTTTTGTAGCCACCATCAGAGATAAAATACCAAGCTGAAGCCTTCTTGCTCTGACCCACAAGACAGTGAATTAAACTTATTCTATTATGTTACTAGAAAAAACAAGGGGAGGGAGGAGATGAAAAAGAAAAATCGTTGTAGAAGAAGGCAAATGCAAAGTGATCAAAACCATTCATGTTGCTGCAATATGCCAAGAAAATATATGGAATGTCATTATCCACTAGCAGAAATGAAATACCTTCTAAAATAAATTAGGTTCCTAACACTTCTATCTTAAGTTTGTTGTAACAGACACCCAAAGAAATAATTTATAAATGTTAAGAAAATATAAGTAATAAACCTGAGAGCTAGATTTGACTGAAATGACTAACTGAAAGAAGCTTACAAGATAAAGAGAAAAATGTATCCAAACCAGTTCTGTTCACAGGAAAGAAGAAAGTCTCAGCATAATTCAGACATTTAGCAGCAAACTTGTCTGTAAACATGTGTCCAAACAGTCAACAGGACAAAGCAAAACGCGCCTATGAGAATAGTAATCAGATCTTAGGGTCCTGAGCTTTGAAGTTTGAAATATTTCCCCAGAAATGCCGCATTCTTCTTTCTCTGCCACACCAATGGAAGATCACAAAAGCAAATTCTCATTTGTTCCCTTTTTTTGTTATCCTGCCAAAAATATACCCTCACTGATAAAGTCCACCAGTGATTCATTACACACCATCATCCCAAGGTTTCCAGTATAAATGCCATATTAAATGAGCCTCTCCTGTTTTATTAATGCTTAACAGACATTTAATAGTGATGATGCTGCCAGTGATTCTTACTGAATCTTACCATTAAAACACAGGTGTTTCTGTATGAAGCAAAGGCCCCCAGGTTCTTCTCCTCCATTCTCATTTTCTTAGCAGTGGCTGAGCTGAGGTTCATTTAGAAGCAGAAATAGTGGGAATGGGATGTAACCATTCTTTTCATATTTCTCCTTTTCTCTACAGATCAATTCCATTTTCTCTGTTCCTCCACTCTTTATCGATGAAAAAAGAAGAAAGAAAATGAGACAAAAAGAAGACTGAGAAGAGGAAAAGGGGAGAAAGCTCTGGTGAGTTGAAATTTAGGTTGAGAATCTATATGTTTAACATGGAGTAAATAAACAAACACATTAAAATGATACACAGTTTAATTTCCTGGCATTTCATGCATAACCATCCAGTGTGTTCCTTTCCTGAAGCTCTAGTCTCCCCTAGAGCCTTGATCCACAGCATTAATTCATTTACCAGTCAAGGAACGTAGTCAGCCCTGGCTGCTACAGGTCCTACCCCATGCAGCTCTGTCAACACCATTCACCTGTAATCCATTCTCCTTTGCCGCTGGCCTGAGATTCAAGACAGGTGGAATTTTATACCTGCCGTAATGGGTTTCTTAAAATCCTTCCAATGTGGTATTGTGGTATCAGTCCAAACCTCCAACATGCTGCTGATAGCCGATGGATCTGTTCACACGGTCGCCGTCCCCACAGAATGTAACCTCCTCTGATTGAATTTTCTATGCCCACATTAGGCCTAAAGCATAGTAGGATTTAATAGGCATCTAGTAAGTGCTTTTTAAAGACATTTGGTAGACAGGTTTAAAGCATGAGGGGTCTGCAGGGGAGTTGAAAAAGATGACCTCCAAAGTCCTTTACAACTTTCTGATTTTCATTTGAGGATATCAGTCCCTTCCGTGGTTTTGAATATTACACCTGTTCATGACTTCCACCCACCACTTCAGGGCACTCCTCATCCGAAGCTTTGGACCAAAACGTCCACCTGCCTGCTATATAGCTTCGCATATTAGCAGAGTGGGCATCTTAAATTCAGTATGTCCAAAATTAACCCACGTTCCCTCGCAACCTGCTCCACCTTTACAGCTTCCTGCACTTACTAATGACACCACCCTCCTTAGGAGCCCATGTGGAAGACACGCAGGAGGGCAGCTGTCTCCTCCCTAAAGCCAGTCTGCCTCCTAGATCCATGGATTCCGCTTTCCCAAAACCCAGTTCTCTTTGTCCCGCTATCTTCTGACAGTCTCCATTAAATTGTTTGTGACTCTAATAAGCATTTATTTGATTCTTTCACGATGTGTTTCCATCTCTGTCCCAACACTACATCCTAGAATCCGTCTGTGTATTAGGCTGAAACTCCTGCAACTCACAACGCAGGGTTTGCAGGTGCGCTGAACGGATGTTAGGATGCCAGGTTTCAATTACTTTGGGGACATGGATCTTGTTATACCCTTTGTTTGTTTCCCCCCTTTTATATGTGTATATATATGTCACTGATCTGTTATTGTCACTCGGAGTGGCCGCGACAATTGGCAGTAGCTTTTTTTTTTCTTTAAATCCGCTCTATTTTTTTTAACAAGAAATTTAAAAGTCCTTTGGATTCGGCTCCCGGCTAAAGCCATCCAGGATCAAGGCTTCCCACCCCTTCCAGGGGCCTGATGTGCGGCGGGGGAGGAGCAGGGAGCGGGAGCAGCCCGCGGAGCCGGAGCGCGCGAGGGGGGCGTCCCGGAAGTCGAGGACCCGAGCGGGCGGCCTCCTCAGCCGGATCAGCTCGGGCTGAGGGCCCAACAATAACAAATCTCGGGGCCGGGCGGGGGCCGCCGGGGGCCCAAGCCTGGGGGCGGGACCCAGATTGGGGGAGGCGGGTGGGACGCTTTCCAGGGCCTCAGGGGATTGGAGGAGCAGGATGAGAGGCGGTGGAGCTCGATTAGCGGGCAGCGGAGCTAACTGGTCGATTGAGGGGAGAGCGTGTTGATTGGGTGGCGCGGGGGGAGACGGACCAGAGCCGACCGCGGATTGGCAGTGGCGGCTGAGGAGGCGTGGCCAGAGCGCGCGATAGGGAGCGCGAGGGATCCGGCGGCCTGCCCGCCCGCCTGCCAGCTAGCCTGAGCGGCGGGAGAGCGCGGCGAGCAGGGTCGGCTTGAGGGACGCGGAGCGGGAGGCTCGTTCCCCAGGTCCGCGCAGCCGTCCTCGGCGCCTCGAGGGGCCCCGTTTCCTTCCCTCCCCTCCCCTGCAGTCCGGCCTGGGGTCTCCAGCGGGGAACGGAGGGAAGAGACGAAAGAGGAGGCGAAAGCGGAGTGAGGAGCCGAGGGGGTCCCGGCGCCGGGCGAGG